CCACTTCCACGGCTGGTTATTGGATACACGAAAGTGAAATAGAACTGGAAAAACGAAAAGTCTGCTTTTTTAACCAGAAAATGAAGTTGTTCCCCCAAAGGGGGTGCACCGTTCCTGGAAGTACTGCAATACCAGGTCGATGCGTGGAGTGGACGGAGCAAGCTCCTATTCCAACTCCTAGCTCCAAAAATCCATTTAATATATTGTCCTCGGATAGAGGACGTATCAGATATTAAACTGATAAGAACAGATACTACACTTGATCTTAGCCAAAAGGCCGAGAAGCGATAAACTCTCTGTTTAATCACGGCCAGGCTTATACCTACTGTAGCTTTTACAGTTGTGGTGACTTTGAGTTCCCAGTCATTAGATTTTTTCCGATGTGCAATAATGCTTAAAGTCAATTTCTCATTATTTTTACTTATAATAATAGCTACATTTTTGGGAAACAAACCTTAAACAGTGTTCTTTACTGCTTCACCTTCCCGCTCACGCTCGGTGTATTTTGCATAAACCCGCCCCTTTGCTCTTTCACTTTCTTGGGATTGGTCCTCATACTAGATGTGATTTCAATGGCCGCGAGGTCTCTTTTCCTCTGAGACTTTGGCGTTAGTCTCCCAGCCTGAAGGCTTTTAGGCGCTCCCTGGGGCAGCTGGGCGGTGATGTCTGTTAGTCGGCTGAGGACGGTGCAGAGCGGCGCCCCTCTCCAGATTTATTTGGAGAGGCCGCTATTCCCGAGCACAGGCTTTGGAGTCCAAAGAACTGAATTGGGATCTCGGCTCTCCAGTTCCTGATTTGATGACACGAGACATGTTGCTTAGGCCCCTATCTCCTCTGTCAAATAGGGGAATAATAACACGCTTATGGGGTGGTTGTGAGAACTGAGGACACACTGTGGGCTCGGCCCCAAGGAGACAGGAGAGGTTAGCTATTTAGGACTATGTTTCCCTAACATCTTGGGGCTCCTGGCTCCCTTCTGCCCCTCCTGCCTCACCGATCTGTAACATCCACCCCTACCCCACTTACATCTTGCCGTTTATACCATCCAACACCCACCGTCGCACAGCACGGAGGAAAAGATGTCCTGAGAAAGACTTCGGAGCCTCTCAATTCCTAAACCCAAGAACCACCAGTGGGAGGAGGGGTGAGGACAGTGTAGGTCAAATGTAAAAGAAGCAATTCTTTAGAGGTTCAGAGCAAAGCCCCCAGCTGTATGAAAGGGATTAATGTCAGGCCCTGGCTGAGAAGGGACCTGAAGTCCTGTTTCCTTGGAAACCATATTAATGTAAACGCGGAACGTTCTGTTCGAAACCTCCTTAACTGATCTCTATACCCGGGTTGGAAATACAGGCCATGTCTTTGTGTCAATGTGACCAGCATGGCTGAGATCCAAGAGTGGAATGTTCCATTCTCACTGATACGATTTCAACTAGCAAAGTCTGATAATCCGTGATTTTAGAGAATTCGGTGTCTCAGCACTGTGCCTGTTAATAAACAGTAGCAGTTTCTACATGCTCCTGTAAATAAACCCAGAGCCTCCAGGGAAGGTCTGAATTAAGGGGGTGTGGCAGGCAGAATTAGTGCCCCCGCATGCCCTTGTCCTAATTCTTAGAACCTCTTATTATGTTACTTTACATGGCAGGCAAAACGTACTTCGTAGATATGGTTAAATTAAGATTTTTTAGAAGAGATCATTCTGGACTATCTGCTGGGCTCCATGTACATAATCACAAAGATCACAGAGAGAGGCAGGAGACTGTCAGAGTGATGCAGCATGAGAACGATTTGATGATCCATTGCTAGCTTTGAAAATGGAAAGGGGTCAATCAGCCAAGGAATCTGGGTGGCCTCCAGAATCTGTAAAAGGCAAAGAAACAGATTCTCCCTTGGCGCCTCCAGAAAGAAATGCACCCGTTAGTACACCTTGATTTTAGCTCACTGAGACCCATTTTGAACTTCTGATCTCCAAAATTGTAAGAGTTGTTTTGTTTTAAGGCACCAAGTTCGTGCTAACTTGTTACAGTAGCAGTAAAATAATACAGAAGCAAAAGCAAAATTCAGTTTCTTTCAATCACAACTTTCTCTAAATTCTGCAAGACCCAACCCGGCGCAGGCCACAGCACCCTAGTCGGGCAGGCTTCAGTCTGTCCCCGCAAGCTGCAGCCACGCATCTTGAGGACAGATCTTTTGGTGGGCTTTTCCCAGTTGGGTTTTAGCCATCACGTTGGCAGTAGCCCTGTTCCTCCTCTGAAGCAAAGGCAAGTATGAAGAATTCCCTTACTTTCATCTACTGTTACCCATGCCTCATGCTGTGTGGGTACAGGAGGCTGACAGCAAGGACCCCAAGAACCTGGAAATCCATTTGGTCCCTAGGGGACCATTTGCCCATTTATTTACACTTGGTGAGCAGACATCCTACAATGATAAGAAAGATTAGACATACAAAGTGGACCTTGCCTTTGTGATGTTCAAAGTCTACTGGAAAAGTGAGAAAAGGCTCCACATAAGAGATGAAGGTGGCTTGGGTAAGTGTGGCTGTGACAGAGATGGAGAGAGATGGAAGAGTTCACAGAGAGTCGCTGGTTTTGATGACAAGCAAAGCAAGGCCTTTCCATCTGGGTACATTTAAATTTTGTAACTTAATATTTTCATGAAACTGATATAAATTGTCAAGTAGTGTTCAAAGGCATTATATTGTGTTTATATAGTTACATTGTTGCATGTTATTACATTGTTACACTGCCCCCCAATTTACATCCCCTTTTATCTCTTTAAACTGTTTTTTTTTAATGATACATTCCTCCATATTTATAAACTGATTAGACAATTTTGGACTATTTTTTGTAGTGCACCTAAGAGGAAGATGTTATAAACTTAAAAATCAAAACAATATTGCAGCAGGTCCAAGAAATGTTTAGTCAATCCAAAGTATTTAATTTTTATTACATAACCTAACCCTTCTGAGATCCTGCTGAAGCTTTCCCCAAATAAATGCATAGTTGCCTTACACAATTTTGCAGTTTCTGGAGAGATTCTTAGAGGCCTCTGAGGCCCATTCACTAGCCCACAAATTAACAACTACAGCCCTAAAGAGATAGGAGAACCTGTTTGAAGGTATCCAAACACCTAAAAAGGAGCCACATCAAGTGGAGGAACAGGATCTGGAGGTCCTGGAAGGACTTGTGGGCAGGCTTGTCCAAGGGCTGTCCGTCCCAGTGAGAGCCCTGCCTCCAGGACTTAAGATTGGCGACCCTGGGCCCACTTCTCATGGCAACTCTCGAGGTTGGAGTTGGGCAGGTCCTAGAAAAGAAGCACTAGCTCTCCTCTTGACCACCAACCCACCCTCACTGCTAATTTGTATTAGCTCCCTGGCTCCTAGAAATTTAAAACCTCTACTGCTATTTAGTCTGCTGAAATGATCTTATCCAGTGCCCTGACTTTCCCTCACATCCATCACCTGGTGACATCTGAGCCCCCACCTGGTCCGTGGTGCCAGGCACAATTCCAGGTGCTTTTATATGAATTAACAACCTTAATAGAGATAAGTAGGTACTATCATCTTCCCTCTTCTACAGATGGAGAAACTGAGGCACAGCAGGTTAGGTGATTTTCTTTAGGTCACCCAGCTAAGTGGCAAAGACACTCCAAACCCAGGACATCTGGCTTGAGGCCCATATCCCGCATTCCTAAACCCTATGACGTTTATGCCTGTGCTTGACCGTTTTCTTGGGTGTCCGGGAGGCACCTCAAACTCAGTATATTCAAAATGATTCCCTCCTGACCTGCCCACTCTGGAACATCCTGTGTGCTCCCTTGACATCACACCCACATCCACTCCATCAGGCAGTTTTGTTGCTTTTTCCTCCAAAATACATTCGGAATCACTCCATTTCATTCCATTTGCCATTTCCTCGGCCAGGAACCTTCAGCCCCATCTTCTTTTGTAGGTTTCAGCTCAAATACCATCTCCTCAGAGATGCCTTCCCTGACCACCCTTCTTATCAGATTGCTATTCTTTGTTGGCATATATCATGTACCTCAGTGTCTCAAAACTCAGCACTACTGACATTTTGGCCTGGGTAACGTGGTTTGGGGAGTTGAGAGGCTGCCCTATGCATTGTAGGGTGTTTGGCAGCATCCCTGGCCTCTACGCACTAGATACCAGTAGTATACCCCACCTCCAATGATGACAACTGAAAATGCATCCATACATTAACGTTCCCCAGGGGGCAAGAATCACCCCTGGTTGAGAACCAGTGTTATTTCAAATAATCTTATTTGCTGGCTCTCATTTCTGCCTTTTGGACTAGCTGCTCCAAAGGTTAAGTCATTGACCAACCATAGATACCACCCCCTATAATCCTGCATTGCCACTGCCCTTACTATACACTTACTTGCCCAGGGTCAACTCAGCAGCAAAGATTTGAGAACACTGCATTTACAAATGTTCGCCTGAGTACCCCGGTACATGTCCTGTAAAAGCTGTAGCTTTACAGAAGTACATTTCTCATGGGAGGCACAAAGAGAAAGTACAGATCATTTCAGAAGTTATTCCATTTACTCCAACAGTACACACTAAATTAGTCAAGGGAGGCTTCCCAGTAGTAACTTGAGCAGGGCCCTGAATAAATCACCTTTGTGGAACCCAGAGAACTCCATCAAGAAAATAAGAGACTCTTCTAAGGAGTCAGAAGAGCAGGAATGCAAGGGTGGCTGCAGAGATCAAAATACAGATGAGGTTACACTAGGAAGGCCATTGGGCAGTGACAATTTACTGGCATATGGAGAAGCCATGTACCCAAGCGGGCAGTGATACAGTAAATTCTGGTTGTAGGCCTGATCTCAAAGAGCAATTACACTCCACAGAAACCGTATTAGAGATTCATGTGAAGAAAGGGGGTGATGAAATACCAAGACCTGATAATCTTCTGTTCCTAAATGCCATGCCTCATCAGCTCCTAGCGCCTTCATCCAAGTCTACTAAAATTTTAAGGTATGGTTGAAATGGGTCACTCAAACCCAGGAAATTTGTCATGCAGAATTCCTCGGCCAAATATAAAGAAAACTCCTTGAAGGTCTAAGAAGGCTCCTTGAGTGATGCTTCCCAGGGCCAGATAATCCAGCATTAGGCAAACTGCCAGACTGTAAACAGGGCAGTCAGTAAAAATCTCTAGGATTATTTCCTTCTGTTCAGCTAGGCCCACTCAAACACAGGAAATCAGTGAAGGTTTAAAAAAAAACCTTTTATTTAGAAAGGCTGAAATGATTGCATGCTAATTTCAACAGCTACGTTATATAATGGCTTGACAATTCCAAATTTTGACGTCCTCCAAGAGTCAACTCCTGTAGAGAAAAAGTGAATCTTCTTACTAGACAGGCTTACAATGGGATATCCTTTAAACCAGTTATCATTAAAAGGATTGCTTCCAAGTATTTTTCCATTTATCATAGCCTATTAACACAAGTACATGAACAGATACCTACTATTATATGTGCTTTATTCTTTTTTCAGACCTGGAAAAAAAAAGTACAATTGATTTTTCCATCAGTCATTTATTTCCACCATTCCCATGTTTAGAATTCTTAATGATCCCTCAGACAGTTCCTTCCGGAACAAGCCTTCCTCTTTTCCCCCAGCCAGTCCCAGTGGGTTCACCTTTACAGGCTCTGGGACCAGAACAGGAGGTAAGACATATGAATGTTTCTTCACTGGGAAATTTTAACTTGACCCATGTTGCATTCAAGTTAACTTTACCTCTTAACTTCAGACTGGAGTTGAGCAGAAATATGGCTTTTATCTTTCCCCTGCAAAAGAACAATTGGGAACTAAGTTTCTCAACCATCTCCAGGAATCCTTGTTACTTAGAGAAAAGGCATATCTATATAGACTAAGTCTTAACACCAAACATTTTATAAAAACCAATATAGCTAGTCCAAAAGGCTTCCTACTGCCTAGAAAGCCTACTTAAGTAACGTCCCACTGTTACCTTTCACTTCAAGGCAAACTCACAGCTCAGAAAATACCTTTCAGTCATAGTAATCAGACTGGGGCGGTATTGAACTCATCACAGGTGAGTGAGAATTTGTCGAATGTTTCTTAAATGGCTAAAGACAGATTCTGGATTATGCCAGTAGTGTCTGCACAACTATCCAAAGTGCCACACAAAAACTGGTAACTCTTGAATATACTTACCTCAAATCATTCTCACGCTCCAAACAAGGTGCTGGAACTAAAACAGGACAAGACTAAATCAGTGATGGTTATCTCTTGCAATAAAAGTTGTTCCCACCTAAACCACTGTTCTAGAAAATCAGATTTCCGAGTCTCAACAGCAAATCATCAGCCGAACGAGATTCCATGTAAGTCATCACGTATAGATGCCTAAAAAGGCTTTTCTACTTAGTATGCTGCATGCACCAATGTATATGGAAACCACTCACCTTTGAGCAAACAAGCAGGTTACTGGCAACGGTACCTAGCGAAGGACAAAGCTATGAGTGACAAAAGTTCCTTCAACACAATACCCCACTGCTATCTTCTCCAGTTTCTCAGGTGTTCATATCTTTTCATTGTTTAAATCATAGTGAGCTAGTTTGATTCATCATAGAAACTGCCTACTTGGTGGCATAAGCCAGAGACATTAATCAACTAACCTTTCAGCTCTGGAGGCCTTCCAGAAAGAAGTATGCAGGAACTAGCTGATTCTGCATGAGAAAATCATGTAATTAGCAAAGTATCTACAACAGCCAAAACTATTCTAGCTGTGATTACTGTATAAGCCAAGAAAAGCTAAGCAAACGCTATCCACATATATTTGATGTACCTCAGACTGTTCCATATGGAACAAGTTTTCATCCTCTCTCCCAGTCAGCCCCAGTGGGTTCACCATTACTGGCTCTGGGGCTGGGACAGGGGGTAAGACAGGATGTTTGCTCTCCTCACTGGCACTGACAAGCTACAACCAGCAAGGTTACAAGTACTCACCACTTACTCTCAACTCTTTCCAGGAATTTTACCCAGAGCAGATCAATAGGCATCTAGAAAATCAAGAAAGATAATATAAAATATAAGCGATCAAGTAACATCAGTAAAAGCCAGTGAAACCAGAAAGGGGTTTAGCAACAACCAAAAACCCCACCGATGGTAAAGTTGTTCGACTCACATGTGCTGATTTGCCATACTGGGGAAGCAACTTACTGTTAAGATAGATGAATATATCACCACCAGGACAACCTGTAAAAAAGAAGCAAATGATTATCTCAAAAGTACTATAAGAGTAAAACTTTTTCATTAAACAGAAACTGCCATCAGAACTCTAACATGCTATTAACTGTCGGACCTCACAGAGGATCAGCATTATCAATTCAAATCATCTGACAGTGACATGTGGTGAGGGAAGAGAACACCCTCACAAGAACCAACTGCTGCTTGCTGGGTTGCTGTCTCCCTCCCCAGGAAAATCATTCCAAGAGGAACAAGCTGGAAGGAGCAAAAAGGCAACACTGCTCCACTGACCATTTGCTCTCCTGGTTGTGGGGAACACCAGAGAGACCACCCCCAACCTCTAACTTGAAAAATTACCTGTATTCACCCTGGGAGGCAGCTGAATTCCTTATGATTGGTGATGAGATGCTGGAGACAGAAAAGGAAAAAAGGGAGGCGTTACATGTTAACAGCCATTAAAGACCCCTGAGTTATGTATGGCTGAAACATACAGTACACGAGAAACTGGCACAACATTGTAAACTGACTATCCTTCAATACGGAAGAATGCAAATAAAAAGACCCTTGAGTACTCTTGGCCCACTTCTCAGTAGTAAGATGACATCACTTGAGTTCAGGCATATGCTTGTCATTTTACATTCATCATGAAGTGGCCACTGCAATCTGAATGAACAAGTCCCATCTGGACACGGTGTCCCTGTCCATAACTGCATAAAGCATCATACACCCACCTGGGGCATCACTGCAATGTTTGACCTACACAGGGATAAGCCTTGTCCCATTCTCCAACCTGTACAGTCTTCTGAACTAAACCACATCTGAAAAAGAAGACAACACCAAAGACTTCTCACTTTTACATCTCGTAGCCTAACTGTCCCATGTTAGTACTTTAACACCTCAGAGTTAAAAAGCCCAAACATCTGCTGCGGATGGCGCCACTCAGAATTTTTATATTCTCTCCACTAATCCATCAGAAAGAGAGAGTTCAAGTCTTGAAATCATCCCCGTAGCACATACCACAGACTTTCTATACCCCCAACAATGAAGTGGTTAAAAAAGAAAACTGGTAAAGGCAGGCCACGAGCACTTACTCTAACGAGAGCCCTTTACGACCCTTCAGCATTCGACGTGAGCCTGAACCCTGCAAACAAGAGGACGTTAAGTCAGCACTAGTGTATCTCGCAAACGCTCTTTTCCGGAGCTAAAACTGCTGTACAGGGCCCGTCTCGTCAGAGTTTCTTATCCTCACGGAGCTCAGTACAGGTCTGTGAAGTTTCTCATCACAGAGAGGCCCGTTGGCACTAGCCGCCATCGCCATTTTGCCCTTCACAAAGCCCCTTGCTTCGAGGCCTCAACGCCACCGCCAAATTCCCATTCCCCTCCCTCATCAGCCCAGTAAGTGCAACAGAGAAAGGCCAAGACACAACACCCTCACGCAGCCATTTTTCTAACGCACCATAGGCAAAAACCTACCAGACACAATGGAAAAATGAGACCGAAGGCCTACAGCAAGACACTTAAATACGATCTCGCAGAGGCCCACGGGACTTGGGGGCGGGACTAGGACGGGCGCAGGCGCAGAAGGAGAGGAAGTGCGCGCCTGGGGAGTTGTGGGTAGAGGTTTCCAGGGAAGGTGGGCTTGGAGTGCGCGCGCCTTGAATTGCGGCGCGAAAAAGGTGCGCATGCGTCTTAGGGAGCGCGCAGGCGCGCCTATTACACTGCGGCGGGATCTGTGCTACGGCCTCTCTCTGGGGCTGTGGCCCCGAGTTTCCTGCGTCGCGCGGATCTGGGACTGACGACACGTCACGGTCACAGCCGCCCGCCCCCACACCCATCCCTAAGCCCCTCTTGCCTACACACAACCTAAACCCGTGTGCAGGGTCCGACTCCATGGACCCCGAGCCTCCCGAAACCTCGACCGGCGGCGCCTCGGTTCCACGCCAGCCGCCCAGCGACCATTCTGGGCCTGGTGCTCAGGGTCCCAGCGCAGGGGGCGACTCAGGTACTACTGGGCCCCGGGCCGAGCTCGAGCCGTTGCATGGAGCTGTTTTGGGAACGTCAATCAGGCCGTAGATGCTGCTGAAATTTTATGACAGTCTGATGATGTTTTCCCTAGCTGGCCATCTCCTGCTGTCTGGTCCGATTGCTCTAGAAAATCTACTACGGCTAACGTTAGCTGACATTGGAAGCGCCTTTTTAAGCGCATTGCGTGAATTAATTATACTTTAGTCCCCCAGATTCCATGAGGTAGGTACATAACCCCGTTTTATAGATGAGGGACCCTTGGTGTGTAGAGAGCTTGGCAGAGCAGCCTTCAATTCCCGCCAGATTGTCAAGGTGGTTCCAGTCACCTAAGACACTTGTTTTTGAAGTCAACCAGTATTAGTTTATTAGTCGTTTGTGGCAAACACCTAGTGTTTGCACATTTTATAATTACTTATTAAGCTCTTACTATGTGTTCTGTAGGACCTCACCTAATCCTACAACGGTAGAAGGAGCTATTAAGATAATGTTAGGCATGAGGAACCTGAGGTCTAAAGAGGTTAATAACTTGTTTGGTATTATCCAGCTAAGAAGTATCAGAGCCCACGTGCAAATCCAGGCAGTCTGATTCCAGAGCCTGTACTTTTGACCACTCTGTTTTACTGCCATCATGACACACTTCTCTGGGTATTTGGGGAGCAAGCAAATACGTGGGAAACAAATGGCGTGATCCCTGGGTAGTTTATCAAAATTAAAAATTGTCTCCCCTTCTTTGGATCCTTAAAAGGACATTTTCCCCTCTAATCTCCCTCGTGAAATTGTAATACCATTGAAATACTGTGTATCTGCTTAGGGACTGCGGACCTTAGCAGGGCCAGAAACCTTTTTTTTTTTGGTTGGGGTGGGAGGGGTTAGTTTTTTTTTCAATTATTTTTAATGGAGGTACTGGGAATTAAACCCAGGACCTCATGCATGAGAAGCACAGCACTCTACCACTGAGCTATGCCCTCCCCCCTCAGAATCCTTTCTTAATTAGTATCTAGGATTTTCTGCCCCCATCCCTCCTCTGCAAGAACCAATTTTCATTCCTCTGGAGGGCAGTGTTGTCCCCCATGCATGTCCCAGCATAACATGACAGGTGACACAGTACGCAAGTACTGAAAGAACTCTAAGTTGAGCAAAGTTAATATGGATGGAATAAATTCATTTATTCAGTAACTATTAAGCGCTGGTTCAAGTTCGTGATTGAAAAGTTGTAACAAAATGTGTGAAACAAATAAACTATGGAAAATTCCGAAACTCCAGAGTAGACAGGGCTAGGGAGATTGTGTGTGGGCAGGGGAACTGGAGGCTGCTTTATGGAGTTCCTGGGCCTTGAAGGGTAGATAAACAGAGAGCAGGGAGGGAATTCAACTTAAAGAAACAATTTGAGTAACAGTCTTGGAGCTGGAAAAGGAAGGTAAGTGTACGAATATAATTCATGAAATATGGACTGAAGGGGAATCATTGAATAAAAAATTGGAAAAGATTTCCTGGGGAAGGCCAGATGAGAAGGGCCTGGAATGCAAAGCTAAATAATTTGAACTATAGATAAAGAAAAAAAAAACGGAAAGTTTTTGAGTAGGGAGGTGATAAGAAATTGACGGATAAGACAAGGACATTAATTAGATTGTCACAATAGTTCAGGCAACAAGCAAGTGGATTCTGTACTAACAAGTGTACTGGAAGGGAAATAGAGGATTTACGCCAGGAGTCTTCAATTTACATACCTACAGGAATATAAATAATGCAGGTAAGCTATAGGAACTGACTGGGTGGGGACTCTGGTGATCTCAATAGCCCTGCCTTAGCTCCAGCTGATTGTTGCCTTGCTAGAGTAGTGTCTCTGAAAAATCTGATCAAGAGAATCCAGAAATCCAGAATTGTTTATTAATTTGCCCATTTAAAATGTTGGCATCTGTAAACAACAAGGTCCTACTGTATAGCACAGGGAACTATATTGGATGGCTTGTAGTAACCTTTAATGAAAGAGAGTATGAAAAAATTTATATATTTATGTGTATAACTGAAACTATGCTATATACCAGAAACTAATACGACATTGAAAAACAACTGTGTTTCAGTTAAAAAAGAAATCATTGAGAATAACACAGCTGAAAAAAAAATGTTGGCATCTAACTTAAAAATTTTAAGCATATTCTATGAGTCAATCAAAACGTGTGGGGGCAGGGGAATCGGGGACTGCTTTATGGAGTTCTTGGGCTTTGAAGGGTAAGATGGGCTTCCCAAAGCTATGGGCCAAAGTGGGCCCGTGACTGTGAGTTTGCAACCTCTTGTATAGTGGTATAGAACCCACTAGAAAAAGAAAAACAAAGGGAGAGTGTCAAAAACTGGATGTTCTTTTTAGAAGCTATAAAGGAGTTGAAGAGCTAAGCAAGAAAAAGCCAAGGTTCTTGGCAGTTGGAGATCACAGGTGAACTTTGCTTAACATTTATTGTACTAATTTATTTATTTGTTGCGTATCTATTAGGCATAGGAGATACAACAGGTAATAAAGCTGACAGTTCTCTTTTATGCTCCCTGGGAGCTTATATGCTGGTGGGAAACACAGAGAAATGAATAATATGTTGGTGGAGTTAAATGCTATGGTTAAAATTAAGCAGGGAAGAAGAGAGGAAGTGCTGGGGCAAAGGGGAGGAACTGTTTCACTCAGACAGAGAGAGCCTCTCTGATAAGGGAGGTTTGTGCAGGACTCTGAGGACGTGGAGGAGAGTGAGACAGTGTTCCACGTAGAAGGACAGCAGCACTGTACCATGCTTACTGATTAATTTGTTGTGGTGAGGATTTTAAAAACAAAATGGGGAGATTTTATATGCATCAGTGAAGTTTGGTGGAAATAATGCAAGTTTCATTACCCATGAAATAAGTGAATGCTGAACATTTTTTCCTTTGAATAATAAGGTGGAAAGGGGATGTTCAGCACGCAAAGAATGTAATAGTCAAATTTAATGAAATGTGTACATGTATGTATGTGTGTGTAAATGTATTTGCTTGACTGGTGCAAAAAGGGTGGGGTGTCAAGAAGTGAGAAAAACAAGGAGGGTATAGCTCAAGTGGTAGAGTGCATGCTTAGCATGCACAAGGTCCTGGGTTCAATCCTCAGTACCTCCTCCAAATATAAATAAATAAATAAACCCAATTACCTTCCCTTATAAAAAACAAACAAACAAAAAAAGGAATAAGAAAAACGAGGTGAAACAATTGGAGGGTGTTGAGTCTTAACATCTATTACGTGTTTTCATGGCACTTTTCAGGCACTATACTGAGTGCTTTATACATATTATCTCAATTCATAAAACTAGTTTTTATAGTTAATGTCCCCATTTTACAGATTAAAAAGTTGAGTATTATATTAAGTCACTTACCCAAGGACAAAGCTAGTGTGGCAGAGCTGTTACTCAAATCCAGTCTCTAATTTTGACACTGTTAAAAATTATCCAAAACTTGGAAATAGGCAAAAGTTATTAGTAGGTGTTCTTTTGGTGTGAAGCAGGCCCACTTAGCTTGGGGATTACCTGGTTCTCCAGGGGATATGTACCTTTGTTTGATGTCCTTTTTACTACTGCTTTGGGTATTTCAAAATTTGATAAAAATTGCCTTATAAGACATTAGCTGGTTTTTAATCTACTTATTATAATATAAATTCATATCAGTGTTCTTGGCTGATGGACTCTTGGCTGATAATACTCCTTTCCTAGAATTCTCTTTTGCACCAGTCCTAGTAATTAACAGATTGAATAAAATCTTTGGCAATGTGTTTATATTTTTGAGTCATGTTTTCATTTTTTTAAATTATACTTTAACAACCCCTGGGGTACACTGCCTTTCATTGGTCCGTTTATTTGTTCATTCAAGAAATATTTATCAAGTGTCAGTATTTAAAGTCGGGAAGTCTGACTCCAGAATTGGAGCTTTGAGACAGTGTCCTAGTGGGATTCCAACACCATGCCTCCCTCTGGGTGACATCATGCTTCCTCTTTCCAGCGAATGTTTTTAACTTTTAAAGAGCTGTCTATACCTGTATCACCAGGGAGCCTGTTAGAAATGCTGAATCTCAGGTCCTTCCACAGACTGGATGAATTAGAATTTGCATTTACACGAGATCCCCAGGTGATTTGTATGCATGCTAAAGTTTAAGAAGCACTGGTTTACACAGTGCTGTCCACATCTTTCTCAAGACATTTTTCAGTCTCCCTACTTGATCTCTCAACAGGACCTTACCCTGTTGACCCATTTCCTCTTAAAACATTGTGTTTCTTCACTGCTTGGGGCACTGCTCTCTCTAAATAATCCTCTTAATATTTCTGATACCTTCTTAGTGATCCTTTGAGGTATATCTTCTGGCCCATTTCTCAAATATTAATATTCTTCCAGTTATGTGTTAGGCCCAACTTTTTACTTACTCTGCCTGGGCCACCTTATCCACTCCTGTGATTCTAATGACCACCATTATGCCGACAGCTCCAGCCCAGGATCTCCTCCCTGAGCTTCAGAGCTGTACATCCAGTTGCCTTCTGGATGAACATCATCACTTGGATGGTCCACAAACTTATTAACTTTTCCAAAATGAATTCAACCCAGTCCTCCTATTTCACTCAGTTGTCCGAGATCCTTTGCTACCACTACCCTAATTCAGGCCATGGATCCCAAGCATTTATTACAGACTTAATCTGGCTCCCTGGCCCTGCTCTCCTTTCTTCTAATCTGTTCTTCATCTTGTAGCCGGAGTGATCTTTCTAAATAAAAAATGTAGTCTTCTCACATCTCAGCTCATAAATCTTCAGTGCCCCTCCATAGTCTTTAGGCTACCGTCCAGATCATCAATATAGCCATTGAGACCCCTCTGCCCCTTTCCTTACCGCCATTCACTTACCTGCCCAAGATTGGATCCACCCTGCCTGCCCACAGTAAACTCCCTGAGTTTTGAGACCGTGTCTATGTAAATCATCATTGTATCCC